TTTTTTTTGCAGATGCCAAAATAATTTACTGTAAATGTTTTTTAAAGTCATTCTCCATTAAAATTCTTCATTATATTCCAAAAAGTACAAATACACTAAAAGATTCATGTTTGATATGTAAAAAATAAAGAGGAAGAAGAAAAATTCACTAATTTAAGGAACTATCCTTATAATGAAACAATGAGTTATAATACATGTGTCTTCTAGTTAAATAAAAAAGCAAATTCACATTATCCAGAATCCTGTCTCATAACAAGCTCAAGTCACTCTGGCATGCACCCATACATAGCTGCCTCTCACAGACTTCCACCCGTGGCAGCTAAGACACTGAGATACTGCAGCTAAATATCTCCTTATAGGACCAAACAACTGTTTCTCCTGGAAAATGTGTACAAAGGTATTTTTCTCCCCAAACAAATATTCTATACCTTCACAACAGGCAATTCTATATCCATTGAAGACTGATACAGTCCCTAACATTCATCCTGCCCTCAAATGACATTCATAAGCTCTCAACAATTTATGCCAAAGGGACAATCCTGTTTCACAGCCATTGGGGATAAGACACACCATCAATGCCTCAAGACACTGAGTCCCGCAAGAAGGCCAGTAACACGGGGACTACAAAGCACATGTGTGATATCCACAGCAGTAGTTAAGCAATCTTGATGCTTATTTGATGGAAGTTTATAAAAATATAAAGGAGTGACAATGCAAAATGATGGTTGCATGTTCAAAACCCACAGGGACTCATGTTTACAAAAAAAGGCGTTTAGGCGTCACAGAAAGAAGGAGATGTCAAATCATTAGTAATCCCTATCGTATTTCTATGACTCTGTATGTAAAAGTAACACTGGATGATGTGCTTAAGGCTGATTTGCCAAGATACCCAGATATTATGTAATGGTGGGAAGAGTTGGAGATTTCAAAGAGCAATTGGTTGAGTTCTCCCTTGCCTGGATGCTCACTTCTCCCTGCCCCAACACAGGCTGACAGAAAACTGTCTAAAACAAAGCACTACACCACCCTTGTGCTAAAGAGAAAGTATCCACACATGGGTAAAGAGAGCCAAAGACTCAAGAACTGCAGCGCCCACACATCAAGTGACCTGCCCTCACCCAACCCTTCCACCCATCTGACTTTCTGCTTTGTCAAGACTTGACCCAAGTGGGTCAGCGCTTGGGAGCTGCCTTGCTGGGTATGGAGTCAGACTTCCTATATGTGCAAAATCAGGAGGATGGACAGTGTGCTCATTGTCACAGGATCTTTCCTGTAAAAGATAATGAGTTCTTTTCTCTCCAAAAACTCAGAGGAGCACCTTCTGACAGACCAGCCTCAACCAATTCACTCATAGAGCAAGAGAGATGCTGGATCAAGCCCCAGACTCTCACAATGAGGTACACTCTGATCATAGAAATCCTGTAGCAAAACTCCCAGTGCAAGCTCCTCACTTATCATGTACTTCATAAAGCCGTCATCTCCCCATGGAACCGCAAACTGCAGGTGATAGGTTGCTGTGGCGTTTTCACCACTGAAGTTCACTATTTCAACTGAAGTGAAATAATGACTCAGAGATGGAGATTTACTGTACACATCTTCAAGCCTTTTAGTAAGCAGGTGAGGCAATTCCTCTTCTGTAATGCACTCTTCTGGAATCTTGACCATGATGAAGAATGTTTTGTTTGATGATATCTCAAATATTTCATTTTCATCTTCATCAATATAAGTTACTCCACTAAGACATAAACCAATGATGATCACTATAATGAGACCCAGGAAGATGCAGGTGATGACCATCCACAGTTCACACTTACCGACCAACTTCTTATTGCAGGAGCTCCAGGGACTT